GGTCCTCTTTTCCCGCTGATTCTTCCGAGCCCATTCCCTTCGCTGCGGTTTTGCGGGGTCGCAGATAGGGACAGTGGGAATCTTTTTGATCGACGAGAGGTTGATCCATTGCGATACATGTTCAGTTATCCTTTATTATTATTATTATTATTATTATTATTATTATTATTATTATTATTATTATTATTATTATTGTTTACATGTTCAGTTATCTAAGAACAGCAATCCTCAAAGTTTAGCGGGGAACGGGAAGGCGATTAGCACAGCATTCAACTGGGTCCCTTTGATATCTTTGGGCAAAGCCGAGGCAGCATTGTACGTGATGATGAGGCTGGCGCGCGATGATGAGGCTGTCGCGCGCCCAGAATTGAGTCTTGTCTTCTTATCTACTGTGAGAATAAAAGAGAGAGTGATATCCTTGTCTTCCAATCTACCGTGCGAACACCGTGCTACGTGCTGATGGCAGACTATCATCAGAGTGCAAGGTAAGAAAATGAGGCGATCGTATATCAGAGTCGAGTAAAAGAAGACGAGACTCTCACTATCTCTTTCGTTCTCACAGTAAGATTAGCAGATAAGATTTTATCGCTTCGCTTTTCGAATGCGAGGTGGAGCCGTAAGGTGGATCTTTGGAGAATGCCTATGAGGAGTGCCAGGTGGGCTACCTGGCTGAGACGTGGCGTCGGTCAACGTGCGCGTTTTCTGAGTACAGTGCATGCGGATGTGTAATTCTTGTTCATCGGAAGCATGCACGAAGAGCAGTTTTCGCCTCTGTTCTCTCACTCTTTTGTTCTCACGGAATATAACAAACTCAAAAAAAGACTTATTTAAAGTTAAGTTATTTTAAGTTATTTACAGATTTTGTCAATAGCGGGGGCTTTTTTGAAACGAAGCAAGAAACTGTGCTCCGCGGGGCTGAAAACTATCAGAGTCCACCAACCGGGCTACCGTCTTCACCCGAATAGATTATAGCTGTATTTGGCACAACTTTCATCCCAGATACGGCGATAATTACCGGGCGACGGGCGTTCTATTCGGGTGAAGACGGTAGCTCAGTTGGTACACCCCTGCCTGAACTGAACTGTTGAAATACACAGACCTGAGTTTGAATCCAGATGAGTAAAGTTCTACGATTCCGACTTACCTAGGGCCTCTCAGTTCGATGATGATATCGCAAGGCTGTCGCCCTTTGAAACAGAAAAAAAAATAATAATAATAAAAAAAATCTACCACAGTCCAAGATACCCATGAACTGTTGAAATACAGACCTCTGTTCAGATCCCAATCTGATATGGTCTAGAGTGATTGTTCATCAGAAGTATTATAATCTGAATACTCATAAGTCCAATACCATTGATGTCCAATCACTTTGATAGTAATTGCAGGATCTACTACCTCATCCATGGAATATAATAGAGCAAATGATGGTATTGCAATGAACATTAGTATAATACTAGGAAAAATAGTCCAAATGATTTCTATAGTGGTTCCATGAACAATTCTCTCTGGAATTGGGTTTTTCTTATAGTGAAAATGCCATAAAACAGGATCTACAACAATTCCTAGTATGATTCGACATACAATTGCCATACATAATCGACGAGAAGTTGAGAACACATACCTGGTTTTATTACGGACCAAATGGCAACTTTGAGTTTACCTGGGGCCGATCAGTTTGAACTTTGAAGATGATATCTCAAGGCCGTCACCCTTTTATACAAAAAAAAAANGACTGTGTGCATGCTCCTTGGATCTTCTTGATAACCTATCAAGTGGCAGAGACAAACCAAGAACAGACTACCGTCTTCCCCCGAGCACAACGCACCCTCATTTGGCTGCACGGGACCGGAAAGATAGTGTGTGTGTGTGTGTGTACATTATTTATTAGGGTGCGTTGTGTTCAGGGGAAGACGTTAGGATATTAATAAGAAAAAAGAAAGTGCAGATGCGGTTCCAAACAAGGCAGAACTTGAAATAACAGATCTCAGAGTGGTTGGGAGGGCGGCAGAGAAACATGGGAAGTTGAAATAACAGATCTCAGAGAGTGGCCCTCCATTACTTTATTCTGTTCATCTGATTGTGTATGGATTCGAGCGAGAGATAATTAATGGAGGGGCAAAAATTCTGTGTTTTTCGACGCATCGATTCCGGCTCCTTTTCCATTCTGGGGAGCATCAGTCCGGTTCCTATTCCACCGGCAAGTCAGGCAGAATTACAATGATAACACACACACGCTCCTCCCCCTTATGGTGTGAAGGCCCGAAGGACGRCATTGATTACTTCCTAAAGGAAGGATGTACCACCCCTCACCCCTGCCCAAGTTAGCCTGGTGGACCTAATTTAGGCCCAGTCTAATCTCCTTCGTTCCTGCTYGTAAACYGTATCCCGTTTGTATTGGCTAGCTTGTTCCTCTCAGCTGCTTGGCTGCCGGCTTTGCTCTGAGTGCTAGAACTGCTAACTGGGCCTTTTCTGTTCCATGTTGAGACTCTAAACCCTAGATGACTACAACCTCAAAACCCTAAACCTTCTCTGTATTGCACCAATATCTCATGTTACTAACCCCCTAAAACCGTAGATCCACTACCAATTTGAATTAATTGGTAGAAGTACTAACTAGGCCTTTCCTTTTTTTCCTTAAACCCTAAACCCTACTTCCCAAAACCTTTAGACCTACCTGTATTCCTCTAGCGGTCTGCCTCCTTTGCAGACTCATTAATTTGTAGTATCCTTACCTGAAATCTTACTTTTCTTCTTATTGCCAATAATCTCTAATGACCCTTTGCTATGAACCCTTCCCTTTCGTCTCAATGCCCTTAGTCTCCAAAGTTACCTTACCTCTTGCTATGGTCAGCTGTTTGCGATTCTGTCTTAACTTGTGATCCTTTGCTTGCACTTCGCTCTTGACCTTCGCCTTTCTAAGCTTTGACTTCCCTTGTTCATGGTGAGGCCAGTTGCTGTGTCTGCCCCTGTTGTCCGTTTGTCATGTCTTGTTGGTCTTCTCTGAACCAACAGAAGATCAGCTTGTGCCCCTCCATTGTGGCTATTTTACCTTCAGCCAATACTCTGTTATGGAATTTGTTGAGAATGTCCTTCGCCTTTGCAGGGTTAGCCGCTGCCTGTTTCTTGGCTCGCTGCCATTGAGCTATAATCTCCATCTATAGTAGATTATATAGTGTTGCTCTAGCTTCCATTCTAGTTGACAGGCTTTTACCTATCACTTGTTGGCATCTTCTTTTCCTATATTGTCCATAATGTGTATTGTCTCAGTAACTGGTAGATGCACTTATGGTTTGAGTTCCAACTTGTTGGGACTTCAGTTCCTGTAAGGAAGAGTCTTTTACTTCTTGGAAATGAAAGTTCCATGACGCGATCCCACAGGGTTCGAGCTATAGACCAAATATACTCCGCTTCCGGGCAGAGCAGAAGACCGTGAAGCAGTGTTTCAGGTACTCCTTCCGTGCACATGACGCAATTTTGCTCTCTCACATCTCTGTTGTTCCTGCTTCGTTTTTCGTACAGCCAGGTGTCGACTGGGAGTGCGACATGAAGTATGAGCCACTGCATACTTCGGACTTTATTCAGCCTGATGCTGTGCAAAACCGACCATGGCAATTTTCGTATTTGCTGTCTTGGTATTCCCACCCTCTTTTCCCATCTAATTGCTAGCGATTGATCCTTCKTAGTTGATCTCTTTCTTAACCTATATCCCCATTTAGTAGTGTAGTGGAGTACGTTAACTCTCTTAACTACTCTTGACCCATTCCCTTTGATGTTCCATGCCCAATGTGCTGGATCAATTTCCAGATCTTGGATAGGTGTTGTAGGAGCAAAAATTGTAAACTCGTCAGTCTCGATCACCCTGACTTTCGTAAGGAGATTTTTATTGACGGCTATTGGAACCCGTGTCTCTTTGTCCAATCGACTAACCCTAAAGCCTGGGTTCAGGATTGGATACATGTCTGCCTCCAGCCACTGATTGGTTGGGCCTACCTCCTGGTGAATGCGGAACGCTTGATCTGGTTCCAAGCTTGAGGTCCACGTTGCCCAGTCACCCCAGCCCCATTTAGACGGGCCCCTCAATATTTGTGTCCATGCTTGGTGTATGGAGGTAAGCACTTCATTCAAATTCTCGGTTAGTCTGTGACAACCTTTCATTTCCTCTCTCATTTCCCTCCCCGTTTTCCACCTATTGTGAGTTGGTGACCATAGATGCTTTACCTGCCATACCCCATGCTCCAACCAATTCCCCCACTTGGCGTCCTTTGCTGTAAGTGTTCTAGGTTTTCCTTGAAAGTCCTTCAGCCATGGGTTACAAAACAAAGGCTGCCTGAGAACTTCCTCTTTCGTTCTTGGGTCTCTTACTCTTGCCGGGAAGACTTCGGCCCATATCTTTAGGATGTGGGCCCAGTATGAAGACCTGGCGTCGTTTTCCCCTTCCTCCTGCACTCTTGTTATTCCCTTCTTGGCCCAACCTTTACAGAATAACCAGAACGTGCCCTCCATATTTGGTGGAGTTGTGTATCTCGCCATACCCCGTATGTGTTCCAATGCTAGGGGGACCGAGCGTAGATGGGGTTGCGTAAATAATTTGATGACCCATTTGGTTTGAAGTGCTCTGATCTGCTGGGCGGGATCCAAAATGCCCAACCCTCCTTTGATTGAATTACTTGCTTCCAGGCTACTTTTGATATAAAATTGGTCTTATCCGGATTCAACGTCCATAAGTACGCGGCTTCCATTACCTCCTCCCCACTCCCTGATTAATCTCCCTTCTCCTGTGTCGAGATGGCGAACATACTTTCACAAGATGTCATAATCTGTAAGGCAAGCGCATTTACCCAGTTGGGGCACAGCCCAGTCTTTTTTTTTTTTAATGCGTCATATATGAATAAATGTCTCGAGCAACAAGGGAAAAACTATATTTAATTATCTTCGCGTAACTAAACAGCCTGCTCAGTCTCAGTATGTTCAGCAGGTGCCAGCTCAGATAGCGGGACATTGCAGTTTTCTCCGTCTTCGTCCGCTGACGGTCGGCAACATCCTTGTCTTTTTCAGGGACTAAAGAACGAGTCCGGCTGTGAAGAAGAAAGCGCCGAAAGCTATGGAGGTGACACGTGCAACAGCTGCTCTGGTTACAGGGGCAGGAGGGGGAATTGGTCGAGCAATCACGCTGCGCTTGGCCGAGCTGGGAGCGAATTTGACAGTCGTGGATACCTCGGAGGCTGGCGGGACAGAAACTGTTCGGCTTATCCGGGAAATGAGGAAACCGGAGGCTGCACGCGCGATCTTTGTGAAATGTGATGTTGCATGCTCTCGACAACTTGCGCAGGCCTTCACCGTGCACATGGATACTTTTAAGCGACTTGACGTCTGCATCAACAATGCAGGAATCGCGGGCGAGCTTCATTTCTTGCCGCAGCTCAAGGCAGCGGAGCATTCGAAAGGGGGCCCATCGCTGATGCCAGCCGAGGGCCGCCCATGGAGCCGAATGATTGACATTAACCTGAAAGCCGTGGCCGACGGTGTGCGGCTGGCGGTCGAATGCATGGAAGCAAGCACGGATCTCAGCAGTGAAGCCGGGAAGAGCAAGAGGGTGATCGTAAATGTAGCATCTGCAGCAGGGGTCATTCCATTCCCTGGGTCACCTGTGTACTCAGCAACCAAAGCAGGTGTGGTTATGCTGACACGAAGTCTTGCACACCTGCAGAAAGACAGAGGTATCCGAGTTTGTGCGTTTTGCCCAATGTTCATAGACACTGCGTTGACCCGCTCTGGAGGTCCGGAGTTGGAGAAGGCAGTGATCAGCCTCGGAGGGTTCATTCCAATGAAGACAGTTGTGGAGGGCATAATGAAACTCATCATGGATGATGGGAATGGGGGCTCTGTGATGCAATTGAGACCGCGGAAAGGTGCTTTCTACACAGCGTTTGGGGAGCATGCTGTTCCAGATCTTCAGGCCCATCACTCCGAGATCGCCCCCGCCAGACCCAAGCCCCGGGGAACCATGCGTCCGGCGAGCGGGGTCAGTTCACAGCAGGCCATGATGGCACAAACGTTTCCTGCACAATTTAGGAAGGTGGTAGTCACGCAGCTGTCTGCAGACTTTCGCAAGGCTACCTCGGTAGTGTCAGTCCCGTTTCCGCCCGCCGTCGGTCAGGGTAAGGTCCTTGTCCGTAACGTGTTTGCGGGCGTCAATGCTAGTGATATCAACTTCAGTGCCGGGAGGTATGATTCTGTTCCCATGCAGCTGCCCTCTGATTGTGGATTTGAGTCAGTTGGCCGTATTGTAGGGATTGGCAAGGGCGTGCCCCCAAGATCAGGCATCTCGATCGGCTCCGCAGTCGCAAACTTTCGAAGAGGAGGCTTTTCGGAGTACCAACTTGTTCATGCCCAGCAGGTGATCCCGGTTCCCGAGGCAAGCCCGGCAATGGTAGCAATGCTTACGTCAGGACTGACAGCATCGATTGGATTGGAGCGTGCAGGACAGATGGGAAGAGCACAGACGGTCCTTGTGACCGCGGCAGCCGGAGGTACTGGGCAATTTGCAGTTCAGCTGGCGAAACTGGCAGGAAACACGGTCATTGGCACGTGCGGGGGTGAAGAGAAAGCAGCCCTTTTGCGCAGCCTGGGCGTCGATCGCGTCATCGATTACAAGAAAGAAAATGTCCAGGAAGTCCTTAAAGCAGAGTTTCCGAAAGGGGTGGACCTGATCTACGAGTCGGTAGGCGGAAAAATGTTCGAGGTTGCTCTGAAATCGTTAGCGGTCAAAGGGAGGTTGATTGTCATCGGGATGATTTCGCAGTACGCAACAGGGGACCAGAAGAACATGAAGCTATCCGAACTGAAGGGCCTTCCAGAGAGACTTCTTTTTAAGTCCCAGTCATTGGTGGGCTTTTTCCTGCCCTATTACGATTCTTACTTCCGAAGCCATATTGCAAAGCTCCATCAGCTGTACTCCAAAGGATTGCTCAAGGTGGCAATTGATCCAACACAATTTAATGGGGTCGAGAGGGTTGCCGACGCAATTGAATATCTCCACTCTGGGAAGAGCATCGGCAAAGTGGTCGTTGGTTTTGCCTCGTCAGAGTCGTCAGCCCCTTCACTAAGATCATCCTTGTGAGAGTGACTGCAGCGCTTGGTTGGTTGTCGACAATTCATCTTGGGATGACACACAGCATGTGTCCATTCAACGCCATTGCCTTCATTCTGAGGAGCACAGCTTGCAATCACAGCCAACCCCAACCAACCCTCAGAACAGTCCAATTTTTTTTTTAGTTTTAAAAACCACCGGTACCGTCCTGCCCAGCTATTGATGCCGAGCCTAGATTCGCCCTGCGGCGCCTGCGCGCCAAAGAAAAAACGAAGCGACACGGCCCTCCTGCTTTTGGCTGGTGCCGCCAGCCATTTCAGTCCGGCACCCGAAGCCCTGAAAAATGTGGGGCCGTAAATGAGCCGTGGCTTTGTTTTTCAACTGGGAAAAAAAAAAAGGTACTGCTGGTTTAACAAGCCGTTTGTCGTACTGTTCTGCACAGCACACTCAGCACAACAACTTTTTTTTTTGCCGCTTTTCCTTGCTGAGAACATGTGAGGAGGTTTAATTTTGCTCTTTGATTCGGCTTCCTCGATGCCCCGATGGCGAGCTTTGTTTTTGTCTTTTTAACTAACCCTCTATACCTTCCTCTACTGGCTTCAAGTCTCGGGAGCATCACTTTACTCCATCATCCAAGGGGGTGTTGAAGATCCTACCTAGTGAGGCCTAGATTTCTAGAACCCTACAGTCTTCTCCCGAATACAACGCACGGTCATTATAGCTGAATTTAGACTGAAAGATAGACCAAATTCAGCTATAATGACCGTGCGTTGTATTCGGGGGAAGACTGTAGTACAAACCCAGGGGATGTAGCCCAAAATTCAGAACTTTGGGCTGCTTGGCCAAGGTTTATAAATCTATGCAGTCATAGACTCATACTTTGTGCTGCACTTTCCCTTGTAGAGTCTGTGCTTATTAACCTACCACCTCTCCTTTCTAGCATGTCCGTTCCCCTATGCTGCTTTGGAAGCTGTTCTCCATTGTAACTCAACTTGCTCTAGACGTATTCAACCGAGGAAGAGATTGCCAAGAGACAGGAGTTCTACCGATGGACAGCTTCTTTCTTCAGAACTCACCAACTGTTTTCCATCTCTTTCCTTCACACAGGTCTCTGCTATTATTAATACAAACAAGTGACTGCCCACTCCGGTGAGGATGCAGAAGGGAATACCCTCTCTCTCTCTCTCTCTCTCTCTCTCTCTCTCTCTCTCTCTCTCTCTCTCTCTCTCTCNACACACACACACACACACACACACACACACACACACACACACACACACACACACACACACACACTCTTTTCTCTGTGGATGGATGTGATTTGTTGGTTTGGTTTTTTATACATGGCCTAATTCGTTGCCCTGCTTTGTAACATGGGCTGTCTTGTCGATGGAGTAATGTCTGTGGGTGGCCATGAGTTTTCTCTGGGGTGGGAGTTTGGGGTTTTCGCCACAATATCTTTGCGAGGAGGCTTAGATAGTGTTTGCTGTGGGTGTCATTCCCGCGGGCTGCTCTTTCGATGCACATGGAAGAATGGGGTGCCTGCTAGGGTGTTTTAAGCAGCAGCGCTCCTGGTGTCGCGTGGAGATCTTGTGGAATTTGGCATAGTTCTTGCAGGGGCCTCGCTGTAGCACCAGGACATCATCCGATTCTGCAGGTTGTGCAGCAGGGGGAGGTTCATGACACTCTTGGTGTTGCGTACAGGTCCTGCTGTGTATTTTTGATTTGTCGTGGCGCTGTTGGTCATCCCAGAGGGCTCTAAAAAACATAATTAGACAATTGGCATGTGTGGTCGGTGCTTTATTGTGAGCCTTTTGTGTTATGCTGTTTTGTGATTTTGTGGGCCAATGTGGAGGGCTCTCCGAGTTTTTGCGGAGCTATGGTGGATGGGGTCGGTGCTTTCTTGCCGCTATAGGCCTCTGTCTGAGGTAAGTTGCTTCTTGCCCTCCACCCTTTTATGGATCAGATAAATATATGTATATACTATATAATAATATATATCAATATGTGCAAGTGTGCCGCTTCGGCGGCAGACGGGTGTGTGGGCACTTGGTGCTGAACCACACAAACGTGGCCAACCTTGCATTTTCTATTATACTGTCTATCCATACTTTTTCGTTATGGACGTCTTTTTTTTTTGTTATGATTAGTGGACGAAATGAGAGAGAGAATTTGGGGTGCTTTAACAACACACACACACACACACACACACACACACACACACACACACACACACACACACACACACACACACATGCATGCACGTTATGTACCCGATTGGACTTCAATCCACAATGAATTCACACGCTCCCATACATGGATGCAATTGCAGAGTAGACTCGAAGGAGGCAAATCCACACAAAACCGGAGAGAGAGATATGCACAGCGGAAGCTCAATACACATTAGAGAATTGAAAAACGAATTTCAATTCTTATTCATCACCCGTCCTCCTCCAATCAATTCAGAGTACTTCATTCCAAGAATCACAACCGCGTTTACAACAACCCTGAACAACCGAAAACGAATGATCAATGAAGTTTTCAGGAGTCGTCTTCTTCCTCCTCGCCACCTCATCACCCTGGCTATGGCTGCCGTAGCAACAGTAACCGCACAGCTGTCACAACGTGCCAATCTGAACCAGCAACCCCAATGATAGCAGCGCCAGCTCAGCGCTCGCGTGGAAGTGCAGTGCTGGAAGTCCTGATGAAGAAGGAGAGAACCGATCCAGCACTTAGAAGAAGATGAGGTTCCTCCTGAGGAGGAACAGCAGATATGGCTGCCAAGTGGAAAATGGCAGCGCCCGAACCCAACAACACAGTCCTGTGGAAGCTCCCATGCAGCGCTGCGAAATAGCAGCAGTGCGATCTTCAACTAGGTTTCCCAACCCCAGCTATGGCTCGGCTTCGAGGAAGAAGATGACCTCGCCCAAAATAGAGCAGCAGCGCTCCAACAGCCAACGAAAACATGAAAAGACCCGAAAGGGCCGAAACTAATCTCCTGCCGGCTACGTCTACTCACCGACTAGACCTATCACAGACTCCCCAGAAAGCAGCCCAGGACTCCTCTGTATCTACCCCGCATTTGGGGAAGAGGGGACCCAAACTATGGCAAGGTAAAAGGGAAAATGCCAAATGGCCTAAGACTACCAAACAGAGACTACTAGTGACAGACTCAGGGATCAAGTCCCAATAGGTCTCGAAACTAACAAACAAAACATACAAGTTACAGGTTCTGGGATCAAGTCCCGCAGCCCCACTGGGAAACTGCGATTTATTGCACGCGCGCACACACACACACACACACACACACACACACACACACACACACACACACACACACACACACACACACATGCTTCTATCAGTTTTGTGTATGTCCGTCTTTTGTTTGTTGCTTGTCCTTTCTGCGATTTTTTCTGTACTTTGTGTCTGAGTGAGCACCTTTAAGCAGTGCTAAACAGTAGGTGGTGTGTTCTTTGGAGCGCCTACAGGACTCTTAGGGGAGCCGCTCTGTCCGTGATGTCTGTGTGGTGCATATGGTTTATGGGTGATGACTGACGTCCGTCGCAGTGACTCCCTGGCTCGGCGGGTGGTGGGAACCAAAAAGTCTGTGGGGCTCACTTGTGATGTGAGTAGGCGATGTGCTGCTTTGCTCCGTGTTCTATGTGTAGACTGCCTCGTCTGTGCTCCGCCACTGCCTTGCTGCCTGTCTCACTTGCTTCGTGTGCCGTTCTTGGCAAGCGGCTGAGTTCGCTGTGTGGTGTGGCTTTGTGCTTCACTGCTCTGTTGCCTTGTCACCCATCTGTGTATTGTGCCTTGTGTGTCCTTTGGTTGTGTGCCATGTACTGTGGCTGTCTTGTAGGTGTTGCATTGTGCTTCACTGTGCAGCTGCTGTGCTGCTCGTACACTTGCCCTGTCGTTCCTTGGCGTTGTGCAGTTGGGTTGCTCCATCAGTGTTGCCCGGTGCTTCACTGAGTTGTTGCCTGCTGCTATGTTCCGTTTGTGGACAGTCAGCCTTTAACAAGAGTCAAAGGTTTCATGACCCAAACCATCAATACGGGGATTGCCGAGGGTTGAGCCCCCTGATGAGTCGGTGAAACTCCGATGAAAGAAGCTCTGTCGTTCCTTGGCATTGTGCAGTTGGGTTGCTCCAGCAGTGTTGCCCGGTGCTTCACTGAGTTGTTGCCTGCTGCTATGTTCCGTTTGTGGACAGTCTGCCTTTAACAAGAGTCAAAGGTTTGGTCTGCCTTTAACAAGAGTCAAAGGGTTCATGACCCAAACCATCAATACGGGGATTGCCGAGGGTTCAGCCTCCTGATGAGTCGGTGAAACTCCGACGAAAAAAGCTCTTCTCCGCGTATGGGAGACAGCTGTGTTTAGTTACCCTATTTTCTTCTCTCAATGTCTGACCTTCCTTACTCTACCTACTTTTTGCCTGCCTGCTCATCTCAGCGTGCGACCTATCCACCCAAGGCAACCCAGCACCACAACCCGAGACCACCAGGCACCAGACACCCCAAGCGCAGATAGCAGGGCAAGAGACTATGGACTAGGGAAAGTAGCAAACAACATAACTGTATGCCCAATAATAGGAGACAAAAACTGCTTTTTTTTAATATCCTCGCCTAAGCTAAGCTATCCTACAGTTATGGGTCTATGTCTACCACCCTCTGCTCAGTGCGGGGAGCAGTACCCAGGCTGCTAACACCTGGCATAGGCCGGAACAACGTTCCCTGACCAGCCAGGAGGCCCAAAGCTGACAATCTCCGCTGGCGAAAACCAGAAGTATACCCCCAGGAGGCCGTGGAAAGGACGACGTCGGGAATCGAACCTATGACCTCCTGAGGGCCACTTAGGTGCTCAACCAACTGAGCTAGCCCGCTTGGGCCTCATTATCAGTTTTTATTTTTTTTCAGCCTTTCGTTTTTTTCTTTTTTCAGTCTTTGCTTTTCTCTGGGTTTGCCTGTCTTGCATACTTGTGTGTCTTCTGCCCTCCTGCCTCCCCCGTGCCCTCCAACCTTTGTCCTTTGCTGCTGTCTGCCGTTCTGTGCTTTGTCGGTTGTCTTGTGTTGTTGTCTTTTTGGTTTGTTGCCCTGTTTCGCTTGTTCCGCCCACCCACCTCCCCCGTGCCCTCCAGCCTGTTTGCCCTGCTGCTGCCTGTCGTCCAATCCCTAGTTGTTTCCCTGCCTTGCCGCTCTTTGCCATTTGCTCTCCTGCCTTATTGCCATGATGTCTGATTCCTGAGTTAGTTCTCTTCATGGTTCTCTGCTTGCATATGGTCGCTAGTTCTTCAGGTTCGATAGTGATCTTTTTTTCGATTACCATATCTAGAACGCTTGGTTTTGGGATGACCTGTTTAGTGGGAAAACACGGCATTCTGTTTTGCTGCCCACCGTGGGTAGGCCAGGGTAGCTGTGCAGACACACACACATGCACACACACAATTAACCCCCCGTGCTGCTTGGCATGTTTCTTTTTTTCCCTCTCATCATGAATGCAACGACAACAAAATGGAGAGACACAACACAAACTTTTCACCGGCACCTATCAAGTAGCTGGGCCAAACCTTTGGCATGTTTCTTTTTTTTTTCCTCTCATCGCGAATCCGACGGCGAATGCAACAAAATGGAGAGAAACAACACAAATTTTTCGTCGGCACCTATCAAGTAGCTGGGCCCAACCTTTCCATTGGCTCCTCTCAGGGGAACTGGCTGGTCAGTCGTTTCTCTCCCCTGACCCACAGAAGGACCCAATCAACCCAGCCACCGAATGGCCAAGGTCACCATCTGGACGCAGGCAACCCATAACCGGTCCCGTGAGAACATTACACGAGACCAACTGACTTTTGACTTTAAGTAGTTGGTAGAGAAATAGTAGAAAGTTACATGAGACCACTCCTTCTGTTCACTACCTTCTTAACCCGAAAAGAACGTACGTACGATCTATTCAACTTACCGCTGAAAACAGGTTTGCAGAATCTCTGTATAGAGGGTACGTTTGAATGCAACGCACGTACGTACATATATTGCATTCAAGTTGTGCGGTCTCTGAGACATTCAGTGTTCTGATGTTTTTTAGTGTTTATACTTTTCAAAAATGAAAATAAAAATACAGTTTAAATTTTAAAAAGGTTTGTTGTACAACATTGG